AGAACCTGGACTCTGCTGGTTCTGGTTAAGGATGAACTGTTACCCTCTGACCCACATCTCAACAGGCTGACCCGGATCTGGTTTCAGGACGGACCGCTTCTGTTAATGGAAACCATCTGTTAATAATACAGAGACCTGCAGGGAGACCAGAACCAGGACCTGCAGGGACACCAGAACCAGGACCTGCAGGGAGACCAGAACCAGGACCTGCAGGGACACCAGAACCAGGACCTGCAGGGACACCAGAACCAGGACCTGCAGGGATCTGGACTGGTTCTAATGGTCTCTTGGTTCCTCCTAGGCGGCGGCATGGCGTCCCGGTTTCTGGACCGTCTGAAGCGCTCGCTCTTTAAGGATGGKGCGGCGGTGGGACAAGAACAGGAAGTGGGCGGCGGCGAACAGGAAGTGGAGGGCTTCAGTCAGGACAGGTGGGAGGCGGAGCTTGAGGAGGAGGAGGAGTGTGTGAGTGAGCGGCTGGGGGGCACGCTGAGCTTCGACACCGGAGCGGGCGGGTCGGAGGACGGCGCCGAGGGGCGGGACAGCGACTCGATGGAGGAGGGGCCCAGCAGCACAGGTGGGACGGTTTGGTCTGGTTCCGGTTCCTTGTTGACCCGGTTGCGTTCAGGCTGGACCTGACGGTTCTGGATGATGGTTCTGTTTGTTCTGTTCAGATACCAGTCCAGGAGGCGTGTCCCCTGTAGGCCCCGCCCCCTCCTCTCTGCTGACTCGTCTGCGGGGCCTCAGCGGGGGCGGTCCGCTGCACGGCGGGAGGCGACAGCCGGACGGGTTGTTGTTCGAGGTGACGGACGCCAGCGCGGTCCAGGARGGTACCTCCAAATACGTGGTGCGTGTTCCCAGAACCAACAACGGGTCGACAGAGTCCATAAAAACACTTAAAGTGTTAAAAATTAAATTCATTATCCATTTATACGTCTCGTCATGTAATTAAACGTTTTAATGATTTGACCGATTAATCTATTGAAAAAAGAATCGACAGATTAATCAGTGATTAAAATAATGGTTAGTTTGAGCCCTGCTAGAATCCTCCAGGGCTTCTGTTGACCTCTGACCTGTGACCTCTGACCTGTGACCTCTGACCTGTGAGCTCTGACCTCTGACCTGTGAGCTCTGACCTCTGACCTTTGACCTCTGACCTGTGACCTGTGATTTCTGACCTGTGACCTCTGACCTGTGAACTCTGACCTGTGACCTCTGACCTGTGAACTCTGACCTGTGAGCTCTGACCTGTGACCTGTGAGCTCTGACCTCTGACCTGTGACCTCTGACCTGTGAACTCTGACCTGTGAGCTCTGACCTCTGACCTGTGACCTCTGACCTGTGAGCTCTGACCTGTGAACTCTGACCTCTGACCTTTGACCTGTGACCTCTGACCTGTGACTTCTGACCTTTGACCTCTGACCTTTGACCTTTGACTTCTGACCTTTGACTTCTGACCTTTGACCTCTGACCTTTGACATCCGACCTCTGACCTGTGACCTCTGACCCGTCTCTCCAGCTCTACACCATCCACGTCATCCAGGCCGGCGGCAGCGATAAGACCCCCGCTGTCATCACCCGCCGCTACTCGGACTTCCAGCGCCTCCACGCCACGCTGCGCCGGAACCACGCCGACCACATGGAGCGCGTCTCCTTCCCCCGTAAGCAGCCGTCTGGRGCCGGCGTGGCGTTGGAACACCTGGCTGAGCTCACCTGCTTCTGATGTCCGCAGGTAAGAAGCTGCGCAGGAACTTCACGGCTGAGACCATCGCCAGGCGCAGCCGGGCCTTCGAGCAGTACCTGTCCCACCTGTGCTCCCTGCCCGTCCTGGGGGCGGCGCCCAGCATCCGCCGCTTCTTCTACCTGAGCGACCTGGAGGAGGGGCAGCTGCTCATCAGGTAACAGGTTTGTGACTCCGCCCCCTCAGGTAGACAATAAACCTGAACTTCAGGTTTTGTTTTGTTATTCTCTTCTGGAGGGCGGGGCGTTTCCAGGAGGCGCTGGGGCCGCTGCTCAACGCCAAGAGACTCCAGCTCAAACTGGGCTGGGCCTGTAACCACGGCAACCAGACCTCGCCCCCGGCCTCTCCTCATTGGTTCTTCACCACGGTGGGGCTGCTGTACTGCTTCCAGGAGGCGGAGCAGCTGGAGGAGGCTCGGGACCACTGTGACCACGCCCTCTGCGTTCTGATCAATAAGCCCCTCCCACRGCAGCCGGACGGCCCCCACCCGCTCCTGCTGCCGTTGCTCCGGGCGATGATCCGGCTGTCGTGGCAGACAGGAAGAGACAAGACGCAGTGGGAGGAGCTTCTGCAGGGCCAGGGGGCGGAGCCTGACACTCAGCTGACCATCAGAGAGTTTCTGGTCCAACAGAACCTGCAGGAGAGCGACGGCGAGAGCTAAACAGGAAACGCACCGCAGATTTTCAAAGTAAAGGTCAGATGTCTATAAGGGGAAAAACTTTCTATTTTTCTATTTTGAAAGAAAAAGTTATTTTTGAAATGTTGTTTATTTTCTCTGAAACACTTTTTTAACAACAAACAGAAACAGGAAGTTGTTTATAATAAAACTTTTCACTTTAAAARTTAAATAAATTTAAAGAAAAAGGGAATTAATTTTGCACAGAAAATCAAACGTCAGAAACTCGTGACGACATCACATCCTGTGCAGGAACACGTCAGATAAAACCGTTACTGGAAGAATCCTTTCAGAATAAAAGCATGCCAGTTTGTTTCTCTGAGGAGGAACGATGTTTGTGAGCAGATCTGAGGAGTTTTAACAGGTCTTTTATTGTGTTAAACACAAACAGGAAGTCATTAAACTGTCGAAGGAATGACTTTTATTTTGTAAGAGCCACAGGATCTCTGCAGGTACAGGATCATTTCTTTTCCTCTGAAGAATTAAACTCTGCCGCTGTGTTTAATGATCCTGACTCATCGCCGCCGGGTTACGTTTCCTCAACGCTCTGGCCGCCGTCAGGGATGCTGTTACCATGGAGACCAGCTGCCATGACCAGATATTAGACAAAAATAGACACGAGGAGTTTTGATTTACATCAGCAGGAAATATGAGCTGCTGATTGGTTCATTGTTAGCGTTTCCACAGAGCAGGGAAGTTTTAATGTTTCCTGCAGATTAAAGGATAAAACAATTTAAACTTTATATTTTTGCACAGTTACATATTGAAGCACCTTTTCTGTTTATGTTAACACCAGTTTTATGAATGTAGACATTAATGAGCTCACCCAAACAAAACTAATATTATATAAWATGAAAAACTAATGTTTTCAGAACATCTTATGTGTCTTGGTTCAGGTAAAGTGAAAATCAGTATTTTCTGGTCATGTGACCTCCCACCAATAAGAAACATGTTACTGTGGCGCCTCCTAATCATTTTAAACAAATTAAACTTTATTTCTAGATATGTTTATTTAAAAGAACAATCTATAAACATTTAAATCCAGTTTTCTGATGAGAGAAACACTAAAATCACTTTAGTTAAGATGCACTTCTTCATTTCCACCAGCAGGGGGCAGAGTTTAACAAATGGATTAAATCTAAATTAATCTTAGTTTAAAACCTTTAAACATTAAATC